GCGGATGGTTCCACCTGGACTCAGCCCCCTGCTGGCACCTGCTCAGGGACATCTTCCCCTGTCAATCAGAGCAACTGCAAAGCAAGAGAGGCCTGTCAGGGCATATGAGTAGGTACATGAAGGGTCAGGGTTCACTGACTCCACAAATACTTCTTCAGCACCCACAGCATTCCCTGCACTGGGCTGGGAGCAGGCAGGGACCAGGTAGGTGTCACTCCAGCCCGTACAGGGCTCGCGGTCCAGGTCTGTCTCTGGTTATGACCCCCAAGGAGCTGTGAGCGGGTGTCTGGGAAGAGGGGTCCTGAGCCAGCAGGATCAGGAGGGCTTCCTGGAGGGTGGGCTGGAGGAGCAGAGAGCCAGAGGAGGCAGAGGACGGACGGGCGCCCTGGGAAGAGGCCAAAGACCAGGGCGACTGGCAGACTGGCACCGGAAGTGGAGCAGGAGATGTGAATTGGGCGGCTCTTGCCAGGCTTCCTGGGCCGCCGTGAGGAGTCCAAATGCAGAATGATGGGCTACTGGAGGGTCCACCTAGGAGTCCCCAATCAGGGCCTGAAGCTCCACCAACACCATCTCCGGGAGGCTTCCAGGCCCAGGGGAGCTGTCCAGCCAGCACCATCCACTATTGGACCCTGGGCCCTGAGGAGGCCGTAGGTAGGAAATCGGCCCAGGGGCCCTCAGAGGGGGCAGGCAGGGCATAGAAGACAGGCCACACATGCATGCCTGGGCACATGGCTCTTCTCACGCCCCAGAAAGGTCCACAGTCTTGCTCCCCACAAGAGGGGCCCTGTCACAAAGCTTGGGCACCGCAGGGACTTGGGGAAGATGGCCGCTCCAGATCTCCAGGTGATTCATGATGGCATGAGGAGTCGTGAAGTGCTGTCCCCAGGCTTGATGTCCCTGTGCCTCTGTACAAAGGGGATGACAATAAGCGACTCATGGGGCCGGCGTGGGGTCAAGCCCCACAGGGATCCTGCCTCTGCGCTCACTCAAGTCTTCCTTCTCCTGGAAACTTCCTAGGACTGAGCCCGTGGAGTTGAACTTGACTTTTCTGCTTCTCACTCTGGAGGGCAGGTGTGTATGCTGTGGTGTGTGCACACACGTGCGCTTCTGCGTGATGCGGTTTGTTAAGTCTTCAGAGCCGCCTTTTCCCTTGGATATGGCACAGTGCCTAGAGCCCAGACCCACATAAGTGGCCCATAAAAATGGACAAAGTTCACGTGTGTAAAAATCAGAACGAGCTGGGTGCACTGGCAACTTAGGAGGCTGAGACAGGAGGATTGCAAGTTCAAGGCCAACCTCAGCAACTTAGTGAGACCCTAGGCAACTTAGTGAGATCCTGTCTCAGAATAAAAAATTAAAAGGGACGGGGATGTGGCTCAGTGGTAAAGCATTCCTGGTTAAATCCCCAGTATCTACCACCTCCCAATTTTTTTAAAGTCAGGATGACTTTTTTTTTTTTTTTTTTAAGCTCTGAACTAGTGTCTCACTAAATTGCTGAGGCTGGCCTCAAGCTTCTGATCCTCCTGCCTCAGCCTCCTGAGTCACTGGGATTATAGGCCACTATGCTGGCCAGGATGACTTCATCTTAATAACAAAATAAGCACACGCACTATGCCAGAAACCTCACAGAATCCCCCACCAGCCCCATAAACTGGGGACTATTTCTGTCTTCCTTTCCCAGACAGGAAAACAGGCTCCAGATGTCACAAGCTCAAGTTCACCCAGCTGTGAAGTGGTAAAGCCAAAATGTGAGCTGAGGCCACCTGGCTTCCAGGTTTTTGAGGGGCAGAAGTAAATGCTCAGTGTCTGTGTGGGTGTGTGAGTGTGAGGCATGCAAACCCCTCTGTTTCCACATCTTAGTGTGAACAATAGTGCAAAGAACAGACTCTGGAGCCCCATACCCTGCATGCTTAGCCCAGCTCTGTCAGGCACTTGCTTTGTGACTGCAGGTCAGTGACCTCACCTCTCTGGGCTTCTGTTTCCTTGCTTCCCTCCCCTCCGATCAGTGTTATGAGAATTCAAGGGGTGAATAAAAGCACTTGGGAAGAATTGGCTCTTGTTATTGTTGAACCATATGTGTGGGTGCTTCTGCTGGATGTATATTTTTTTTTGGAAGGGGGGACTAAGGATTGACCTGGGGCCATTTAACCACTGAGCCCCATCCCCAGCCCTTTTTATTTTTCATTTTGACCTTGAACTTGAGATCCTTCTGCCTCAGCCTCCCAAGTCTGGGATTACAGGTGTGAGCCATTGCACCCTGCTCAGGATGCATAGCACTTGGCCTGAATGTTTGTGTGTCGCCATGATCTCGGCTCTTGCAGGTGGTGCTTGTGGTGTGTGTGAACATATGTATCCCTGTGTATCTATAGTAAGGTTTAGCAGTCCCCGGTTGTTTTGGGGTCCATCCCTGTCCCTGTCATCTGTACATCTGAATTTGTCTCCTGTGTGTTTGGACACCTGTCGTGTATTCATCGCTACGTGACAGTGTGTTCTACATGCGGGTGTGCCTGTGAAGCAGTGTCTGTGATCCTGTGTGTGGCTGCTTGTGGGCAGATGTCCGAGTGCCCTTGTGGCCCTGTGGACTGTGAGTACACACAGCAATGGCTTTGTGGAAGTTACACGCTGCCTGTGCCGAGTGTGAAGGTCTTGGGCAGCTATAGTAAGGATTTGCGTCTCCTTTATTCCATGGAAGAGAAGATGAGGGGCTTGGGACAGGAGCCTAAGGGGTCACTCCCTGTCTGATGCCAGTGCCGAGTCATTGCCTGTTGGTGGCTGCTGTGTCATCTCCTAGTCCCAGTCTCCCCTTCCAGACTGGCAGCAGACAGAGGGGGCGTGGGGGAACCAGGTGAGACTAGGCTTTAGTCTGGAAATCCCAACCACCCTTATCACCACCCCATGTCCTTCTAGCCTTCTATAGTCTGGGTCTCCTCTCCCAGGAATTAAGACTCTCCAGGGAATTAGGAACCACTCCTTCCTCCTATTTGGCATCAGAACTGTTGTGTGGCCAGGCACAGTGGTGCATGCCTGTAATCCTAGCAGCTGGGGAGGCTGAGGCAGGAGGATTGCATGTTCAAACCCCAGCCTCAGCAACAGCGAAGCACTAAGCAACTCAGTGAGACCCTGTCTCTAAATAAAATATAAAATGGGGCTGGGGATGTGGCTTAGTGGTTGAGTGCCCCTGAGTTCAATCCCAGGTACAAAAAAAAAAAAAAAATGCTGTTGTGTGGCCTTGAGCCAGGCATTTCTCCTCTCTGAGACTTGAGAGTCAACATATTTCAGGTGCTTCTCCATCGGTGCCCAGGATCGGGCCAGGCAGTGCACTGGGAGTGCCAGGGTCTGGGGCAGCAGCTGGTGGTACCCTTCTTAATGGTGCCTCAGAGTTGGGGACTCTGGCATCGGAAATACTTTAGTTAGACTCTTGAACCCTATTTGTTAACCAAGTTGCCTCAGGTGAGTTACCTCTGAGCCCAAGTTATGCGCTGTGAGTGGTTCTGGCTGATTGCAAAGTTTATAAATGCCCCATAGATGGAAGCTACAATGACACCAGTATCATTTACACCACCCCAGAGAGAGGGTTTTCAGGGTATTTCACCCAGCCAGGCAGGTGACAAAAATCCTCTCAGGCAGGGAGGAAACAGAGTTGGAGCGCTCAGCCTGTCCTCTGAGCTAGGTTTACACGTATAATTCCACTACTGAGGAGAGTATGGCAGGAAGATCTCTTGAGCACAGGAGTTCAAGGCCAGCCTGGGCAACAGAGCAGAGACCCGGTCTCAAAAACAAGAGTAGGTGGTTCAGAATTTGATAATTCTAGGGTTAAATTTCTTGTAATGGAGCCAGGTGCGGTGGCATAGGCCTGTAATCTTAGTGACTAGGTAGGCTGAGGCAGGAAGATGGCAAGATCAAAGACAGCCTCAGCAACTTAACCAGGCCTTAAGCAATTTAGCCAGACCCCGTCTGGAAATAAAAAATAAAAAGGTAGGAGCATGTGGCTCGGTGATTAAGCACCCCTGGGTTCAATCCCTGGTACCTAAATAAATAAATTCTTGCAATGAGATCTTAATCTAAGTATCATTTTCCTGTCTTATAAAATGAAGATTTTTTTCTCCCTTAACTTCCAAAGTTGTTTTAAGGATTATACGTCTAGTATTGGAAGACTTAGTTGAGGATCTGGTTCTTGCTAAGCGCTAAATATATTATTATTATTATTATCATCATTATCTTCACACCCACTCATTTTGGCTGTCTCCCGATAAGTCTATAAAGCAGGAAGGAGAAGCCACCAACACCATCGGCCAGAGGCTTCACCCGGTTTCGTCCTTATTTACTCCAAACCTGCATGCCTTCCAAAAGCGGGACCCCGAGGAGGCCAGCCAGGTCCCAAACACACACCCTTCGCTCAGCAGGGAAAAGCGCAGCTGAAGGTCAAGCTCAGCGAGTCAGGGCAGAAGCTGAGACTAGACCCGGGACTTGAACCCCACCTCCACTTTCACCTGGAGCATCACAGCGCTTCCAATCCCGCTTGGGTCTCAGTTTCCCCGCCTACGTGGCTACACCACACTAATTAGGGTCTCCTTTTGGAGATCGACTCTTCCTATCGAGTGGGGGCGCTGCATCAGCGGCAGACGGGCGGGGGGGGGCGCCAGAAGTAAAGAAGACCCTTAAGTCGGGGGCCTCCCACACCAGGGTCAGCACCGGCCTTCCCGGGACAATTTAAGCGCCTATTAATACCAGCCCTCGGGGCGGCTTAGCACTGCGCAGGCGCGGGCGGGTTCCGCAGGCACACGGGGTGCGCGCCGAGAACGAGCGAGGGATTCCCTCTGACGTCATTGCTAGGATACCAAACAAACACTCCGCCGCGCCGGCCGAGCTCCTTATATGGCTAATTGCGTCACAGGAACTCCGGGGAGGCGGGGCCGGGATCCCCTCCCGCCGAGGGGTCCGGAACGCAGCCCCCGAGACCCCAGAGGTTCCAAAGGTCATACAGGTGAGCAGGTCGAAGCTAAGAAAGACCCCTTGATGGTCAGCGCGAGGCTCTGTTTAACCCGGACTGAAATTTTGGGAAGTTTGCGAAGCGCGGAGCTAGTGACGTAAGCAAGGGGGCGGGTCTCGGGCATATAAATACAGGCTGGCGGCTCTGGGCTTCATTCATAAGACTGAGAGCTACCGCCACGGCAGGGACACGCGGAGCCTGGACTTGGGGAGTTGATTATTGTGATTCTTCTTCTTGAGGATCGTGAAATTAATTTTTTTCCGGAAAGAAAGTTTTTGGAAGAATTCTTCTAGATATTTCTTCGTTTATTTTGGAGGAGCGACTTTTTTCGTCTTCTTTATTTCTCCCCTCCCCCGTGAGACTCTCCGGACGCGTGGAAGAGACCGCACCAGAAGCGAGTTCTGTACAGCGGGCAGCGCTTTCGGCCTCTGGGGGAGCGATCCCCGCTTGCTCCTGGGTCCTACGGAACCTGGACTTTCAGGAGGTGCAGCGGCATCCTGTAGGGGTCTGTACACTTAAGAAGGACTGCATAGAAACTTTGCCACTGTTGGAGCAGGACGAAGGCCCTCCCGAGCTTCACCGAACAGCGTACTTTGGGGACGGCCTCGGCTCACCCCGGAATCGCACCTTACTTACCCACCCGGCCATAGCCTTGGCTTCCCGGCGACCTCAGCGTGGTCACAGGGCCCCCCCTGTGCCCAGGGAAATGTTTCAGGCTTTTCCCGGAGACTACGACTCCGGCTCCCGGTGCAGCTCTTCACCCTCCGCCGAATCTCAGTATCTGTCTTCAGTGGACTCCTTCGGCAGTCCACCCACCGCCGCCGCCTCCCAGGTAAGTCCTAGACGATAGAGGTACTGCTTTGTAGGTCTTATACTTTAAGTCTAGGGTGCCGCGAACACCCGCCACCCATCAAAGCCGCGCCAAAACCCAGGATCTGAATTGGCTTACGGTGCACTTTGCAAACTGCAAAGAATCGGGAGATGTTTGCAACTGGTCCTGTGCGCGGAGGGCGGGGAGGGAATGCAGCTGGGCAAGCTTTGAGGCGTGTGTTGGCGGGGGGAGGGTGTACTCCAGTCAGTGCAACGTGTATGCCGCAGCAGAGCTCAGAACTTTTAGCCGGCTCCGGACAGTCCCCGGCTTAGATCCCCAACCTGAAGCTAGCGTAGTTACGCTAGAGGAGAAAACCCGGGGAAGCTACCAGTAGCTTCCTCTTCTTTTCGCCTCCTTCGGAGCGCTGATTCTAACACCCGATCGCCCTCCATCTAGTCGGGAAAGCGGGTCTCGAACCCTCAGCTACGCTGCCTCCGCCTCCTGCGCGGATACGTAACGGGGGACCCGTGCGTAACGGCTGACGCGCTGGAATCCTCCGTCTGACGCGGGGCACGCACGGCGCGCAGCGCCCCCTTCGTCCGCCCCGCCCCTGACGTCCCGGGAGCGTTCTATTTTGGAACGCCGAGGCCACGTTGCTAAGGGAGGGGGCAGCCTGGCGTCCCGATTGGTCGCCGCAGCGCAAGCTTTGGCCAATCAACTTTCCCTTCCTATTTGTAGGGCTCAGTTCCCTTCCCCCTCTGTGTCCCCGGAACCCGTGGTTCCTCGGCGCTAGGGTCTCTTACAGAACTCTAGGGAGGGAGCGAGGGGACTCATGTCGCGACTAGAGCGACTTCTCTGCGATCCAATGGGTCTGAGAGGACCTTGCGGGGATCTGGCCCCTCGGCTGTCAGAAGCAGGAGGTGTCTGTTTGTGTGCCGGCGTTTTTTCGGGAGATATGGTGCTTGTCACCTTCGTCTCCAGGCACACAGAGAAACTCTTTTATTCCTTCTGCTCTGGACACCCGGCTCATCTAGTGTGTCTGAAGACAAAACTAGGACCGCTAGCGGGAGGGGAACCAGGCAGGTGGTCTCCAGGAGCTCCGCCCCCCTGAGTTCCCAGGGCGCTGATTGGCTGGCGAGCCAGCCCGTCCCTCACCACGCCCCCCGGGAGAGTAGTTCAGCCTAAAGAGCAATTCTAGGATTCCACTTGCGGGTGGGTGGGCGATGAGCGCTGCTAGGGCTTGGGGGCTCGGGTCCTACACCCTTCCCTCTCCGCGAAAGTCTGAGGGAACCCGATTGTCACTTTTCTGTACCTGTCCGTCTACCTTAACCTGTCTATCACGGTCTCACTAGGGAGAGGCAGTTACTTGAAACGATGCTCTCAACTCCTAGGCCTGTCCCCCACCACCGTTTTAACTGGGATCCCCGCCCCTCCCTGAGACCTCTCACAGAGGGGTGTGTGTATGTGTGTGTGTGTAGAGGAAGGCTTGGTCTAAGGCCTCTCCCTCTCCCTCCCCTTGCCTCTGGGGTGGGGGTGGGGTGTTGTGGCTGTGTGTGTGGCTGTGGCTCCGTCCCGGGGTTCTGTCACCCGGCTGTGTCCAGCCTCCTCCCCACCCCCCACACCTAAGAGTCACCAACCCGGGGTGTGATTCACCACCCGCTGGAACCGTGCAACCTTTCCCCGAGGAAGAAGGAGGAGGTAGAAGCCAGTTGAGCAGAAATCCTCTCATTAACCACTGCGTCACGGTGTAGTGGAAGGGTGGGTGTTGTGGCTTTTTGCCTGTGACACACACATCCACACCCGCTCACCCTGTGCTCACTCACGGGGTCGGTGTGTGTTATGTGTGTTGGGTGTGTGTGTGTCGGTGTCTTTGTTTGTGTGTCTACGCCTGTGTGTGTATGTGTCACCCCGTAGGAGTGCGCCGGTCTGGGGGAAATGCCCGGTTCCTTCGTGCCCACGGTCACCGCGATCACAACCAGCCAGGACCTCCAGTGGCTCGTGCAACCCACCCTCATCTCTTCCATGGCCCAGTCCCAGGGACAGCCACTGGCTTCCCAGCCCCCGGCAGTAGACCCCTACGACATGCCAGGAACCAGCTACTCCACACCAGGCATAAGTGGCTACAGCAGTGGCGGAGCTAGTGGCAGTGGCGGGCCTTCAACCAGCGGAACTACAAGCGGACCTGGGCCTGTCCGTCCAGCCCGAGCCCGGCCTAGGAGACCCCGAGAGGAAACGGTGAGCATGGGGCATCAGGAGTTGGCCTGATGGGGGAGAAAGCAAGAGATGCAGGAACTTTGTCACTGTTGGGGTGGTGGTCTGCTAAGGCCTCAAGGCTGCAGCAACCCTGTCATTCTTGCTTTAGTAGAGGGTCCTGTTTGGGTTCTTGGGGGTTCTGGAAGAAGAGGAGGTTTGGCATGGATTTAGAACATGTGCTGGGTCCCCAAACCTCATGGCCTGTATTTCCCCTACTCAGCTTACCCCAGAGGAAGAGGAGAAGCGAAGGGTTCGCCGGGAACGGAACAAGTTGGCAGCAGCTAAATGTAGGAACCGGAGGAGGGAACTGACTGACCGGCTGCAGGCGGTAAGGATGGTACCTGGGTGCAGTGAGGGTGTGCTGAGGGCTCTCTCCCCATTCTATGTCCCCTGCCTCCAGCTGTGTCTCATCCTGGCATGAAAACACATGGGTCTAGGGACAGTGAGGCCAGATGGGGTGGCCCTGGCCACAGAGTTCCCTACCTATTTGTGTCCACTCTTGGCCACTCCCTCTTCTCTGATTTATGACCCCATGCACCTCTCTCCTGGCCTCCTTCCCACCTGGAGGGGAGCTCCAGTCATTTCTGCATTTGGTCGTGGGCATGCAAAACATTTTTGCCTCAGTTTCTCCCTCTCTTCAACCCCTCAACAAATGTTCCAGGCCCCTTTTACTTTGAACATTATGGAGAATCTGTGAAATTAATTATTTGACTGAATGTCAAATGCCCATCTCTTGCTCCAGCTACCCACAGTTCTCCAGAACTTGGGCTGGTGGCATTCACCCAAACCCACTCCTTTCTATGCCCAATCTCAGCCTGAGAATTCCCTACTTTATGCTTACAGAGTGCTCTGCTACCCCTTGAGAAATCCAGGGAATTTTTCTACTTTCCTACTGGATCTCTTCCCTGGGAGTTGGGGAGGAAGGGGTAACAGCAGGGATGACATTAAAAACCCCATAACAATTGTTTATTCACTCAACAAACCTCTGAGTGCTTCCTGCACATCAGAGACTTCCCTGTGCACCTGGCCTCTTTCCCAGCCATCCATTGGGCACATGGGGAAACTGAGACTTGCAAGAGGAAACGGAGACTATGCTGAAGGTCACTAGGACTCCAGTCTCAGGGGGTTTCCTTTCTGTCGGGAGCTGCAGCTTCAGGCTCAGCAGCAAGTCTAGGGGGAGCCTGGAGCCACCTTCTCTAGTCACTGACATACCTTTGCTCTTTCCTCCCTCTCTCCTCTGACCTGGCCTCGGGGCCTCAGGAGACAGATCAGCTGGAGGAAGAAAAGGCAGAACTGGAGTCGGAGATCGCTGAGCTCCAAAAGGAGAAGGAACGTCTGGAGTTTGTGCTGGTGGCCCACAAACCGGGCTGCAAGATCCCCTACGAAGAGGGGCCCGGGCCCGGCCCGCTGGCGGAGGTGAGAGATTTGCCGGGGTCAGCATCCGCTAAGGAAGATGGTTACAGCTGGCTGCTGCCGCCCCCGCCACCACCGCCCCTGCCCTTCCAGACCAGCCAAGACGCACCCCCCAACCTGACGGCTTCTCTCTTTACACACAGTGAAGTTCAAGTCCTCGGCGACCCTTTCCCCGTTGTTAACCCTTCGTACACTTCCTCGTTTGTCCTCACCTGCCCGGAGGTCTCCGCGTTCGCCAGCGCCCAACGCACCAGCGGCAGTGACCAGCCTTCCGACCCCCTGAACTCGCCCTCCCTTCTTGCTCTGTGAACTCTTTAGACAAAACAAACAGTCCCACAAGGGAGAGAGATTTGGACGAGGAGGAGAGAGGGGAAGAGACAAAGAGGGCGTGTGGCCTCCCTGACTCTTCTGTCTGACCCTCTGCCGCCACTGCCGTCGGACAGGAGGACCTCCTTGGGTTTTGTGCAGGCCTCTTGTTTCTGTGCCCCGGCGAGGCCGGCGGGAGAGCTGGTGACTTTGGGGACAGGGGATGGGGAGGGAATGGATACCCCCGGATACCTGTTGGTCTTGTCACTTCAATCCAACCTCTGGGGATGGGTGGCGTGGGACAAGAGAAGGGCGCTGCGGGAGGGCGGAGGGCTGCGGGGCGGGGCTGGAGCGCGCAGGGAGGCCCAACAAGGCATCGCCACACTCCCCCGGGCCCTTCCACGCCCACCCTTGAGGGGGCTGGCCAGTCTGCTCCCCCAGCACCCCGGCCTTGGCTTAACCACCCCACGATTCCACGAGGTTAGAGCCTCCTCTGGGCAGATTTGAGTCCCCCTAGGGGGAAGCCGATGGCCCCTCTGAAAACCTGCTTCCCCCCAGACCTAATCTGAAATGTGAACTTCTTCCTTGACCGTCCGGCCGCTCCCTCCCGGTAAAACTGGCCAGGATGGAACTTTCCGGCCTCCTGGGACCCGGCCCCGGCCCCGGCCCCGCCGGTGGCCAGCCCCCTTTGCCTTGCAGTGTCCTGCCCAGCCCCTCCTCCAGCCGCCCGGCCGTCCTTGTTGGGCCTTTCTGGTTTCCGGCAGCAGGGGGCGCTGCGCCGCCGTCCTGCTGGACTGCTGTATACTGTGAATGAGCCGGCGATGGGGGGCAGGCCGGGCGGGCAGAAGCCCGGCCCCCCAAAGCCTTCCTTGGGTCTCCCCTGCCCCACCGCCTCCTTCTCCCCGGGACAATGAGTTAGATCCAAAGGGGTGACAGATTCGAGGGGGGCTGACAGTGATCCGTGCCCTTGGCCTCTCTCCTCAGGACCCTGGGCCGAGCCCTGGCCTTCTTGAAGGCCCTGCCTCCTTCCCCAGCCTAGGACGCCAACTTCTCCCTGCCCTGGGCGCCCCACGTCCTCCCTCTCCAGAAGGGGAGCGAGGGGCTCGGCATTCTCGGGAGAAGTTTTAAGGGCTGAGGCTTTGGCCCCCGACCCCCAATGTTTTGGGACTGGCCAACTTGGAGGGGCCGGGCTGCCACCCTCCCTTCCCCCGGCCCCTGCAGCCCATCTGGGTCCGGCTCTCCCTCCCTCCCGCCCGTCCTTGTGCTTCACCTCATGGGAATTTCATCGTGAGGCAAATTTCTATTTTTTAATATGGGGGTGGCCCCGCCCCCTCCGTGCTGCATGGACCACACATTCCATGGCCGACCCGTGTCCGGCCCTGGCCCAGACCCTCCCGAGCTATTTATCCCTTTCCTGGTTTCCGAAAGGCACTTATATCTATTATGTATAAATAAATATATTATATATGGGTGTGTGTGTGTGCGCGTGCGAGTGTGTGAGCGCTTCTGCATTTACCAGCGTGCCGTGGAGTTGGACTGCTTCTGGAAACTGAACCCGTCTGTCTGTCTGGCTGTCAGACATCTCCCTTCTTGTCCAGGCCCCTCTGGCTGTGCTGACAGTCCCTGACGGCCTTCCACAGTGTCTTCTCTCTCTGGCCGTGTCCACCTGTCTTCTTCCTGACTGTCCCTGATCCTCCAGCTGTCTGCTGACTCTGGGTTTGTTGGGGACATGAGATTTCATTTTTGTGAGTAAGCTGAGGGATGGTAGATTTGTACGATCTGTATCACTGAGAATTCTGGGTGCGAGTGTGAGACTTTGTGCGGGGCCTGCCCCTGCCAATCACAATTTATTGACTCCCCAACCCCCACTCCATGCTGTATTTGTGGATCTTTTGTATTTTGCACCTGACCCAGGGGGCTGGGGCAGGCTGGCACTGGACTGCTCCCCTCCCCCTTTGGTTCTGCACTGTCGCCAATAAAAATCTCTTAAAAATGCATGCACCAGGCCTCTGTGTCTATTTTCTCTTGGCATCCATTACCTGGCTTCCTTTCAGCAGGAGAAAGTAAGGTTAGATTGCTAGGAAGACCACACACACACACACACACACACAGGAGCTCCTACAGCAGGATGGAAGGAGGCTGGACAGTGAGGAAGACTTCCCAGGCACACAGACTGTGCCTCCTATTAGGAAAAGTAAGGAGGCAGAATATTAGCTGTGAGGAACTGATGTGCTGATGGGTTTCAGAGGTGTCCTGGTGGGGGAGGAATTTACAGGAAACTGGAAACTTGGGTGCCTGATGGCTTAAGCAAAAGTTGAGCAGGTAAAACCTTCCATAGGAGAGGTTTTAGAAATCCCAACCTCCCATAAACGAAGACCATTCAGGCTGGGAACAGAGATCCCAGGATTATATGAACTACAAAATCTTGGATCTCTTGCATTCGAGATGAGTTTCCTTTGTTTCTGTGTGACCATTGCTTTTGGGTTAGAGCTGGATCCAGAGCTAAATAAAAATAAATAAATAAAAATAAAAAATTGCCATTTTCTCTTTTCAAAGATACAGTGGTGATTCCCCACTGCAAAATCCTAGCCCTCTTTTACTGCATGGCAACAAGCCATCTGGGAATGGAGAGGCTGGCAGGTCACTTGAATTTTTTGTTGCTGTTTCTTTTGAACCCAGGGGTGCTTAACTACCCAGCCACATCCCCAGCCCTTTTTAGTTTTTATTTTGAGACACTAAGTTGTGGAAATTCTCCCTAAGTTACTGGGGCTAGCTTTGAACTTGCAATCCTCTTGTGCCCCTGCATCAGGCTTAAATTTCTTAGTAAATGAATTAACAAGAGAATATTTATTTATTTTTAATTACTGAGGCTTGAACCCAGGGGTGCTATATCCCTGAGCTATACCCCTACATCCCAGTCCTTTTTATTTTTTGAGATACAGTTTTGCTAAATTGCCCAGGTTAACCTGGAACTTGCAATCCTCCTGCCTCAGCCTGCTGTGTAGCTGGGATTACAGGTGTGCACCCCTGCACCAGACTGGAATTAATTTTAATTAATCTAAAAAATGTAAAAAAAAATGTGATAAGAACCTTCACTAGGGATACTGCAAAGACCAAGCCCCAGGCCCTACCCGCCTAAGACTCACGGTCCAGTGGGGGATACAGACTAGTCCCCAGACAGGGACAACACAAGTAAACAGGGCTGGGGGGATCTATGGGGCTAAGGGAGCTCAGCAAGTCTTCTTGGAGGAATGGACAGCAGAGTTCTAGAGGACAAATGGAGAGTACAGAAAGTGATGAGAAAAGACTGAGGCCAACAAAATAGCAGTTGCAGAGATCTGCTTGTGGTGTTGGGGGGGAGGCTTCATACATACTTCACATTTCCATCGAGGGAGCTGGGTGTTCATGGTGACTACAGCCAAGGGTGTGGAGCAAGAGGTCAGCAGGTGCCAGTTTCTTCATGCAATTAAATTTTAGGCTGTGGAATTTAGATCTTGAGGACATTAGAGAGCCATGGCAGGTTTTGAGATTTAGGTTGGGGCAGATTTGTGCTCTAGGTTGATTTCTCTAGTCACCAGGTTAAGAGTGGCTGGGGTAGTGCACACTTGTAAATCCAGTGGCTCAGAAGGCTGAGGCAGGAGGGTCACAAATTAAAAAGCAGCCTCAGCCATTTAGTAAGGTCCTAAGCAACTTATTGAGACCCTGTCTCTAAATAAAATAGAAAAAAAAGGGGGGGGTTGGGGATGTGGCTGAGTGGTTAAGCACTCCTGGGTTCAACATCTGGTACACACACACACACACACACACACACACAAAAACAGTGGCTAGAAGAGAGGAGGAATCCTGGAGAGGAGGCGGCCAGGGCTGTGAGGAAGGGCTTGGAAGAGGCCCAGGGCAGTGGCATAGAGAGAAGAGGAAGCATTCAAGAGACATTTAGAAGGCAGAACAGGCAGGATTTGTGGAGTGGCTCGATTTCCAAGGACAACACGGGGCAGGAGTAAATAGCCCAGGGGTCTACCAAAGCTGGGTGTGATAACCTGACCTTGGAAATTATGATTCAACTGCCTGAGACTTAATGTGCTCATCTGCAGAATGGGGCTGTCCTGCTCAGTCAGGGGGCTTGTGCATGCCACGTGATAATAAAGGTACAGTTGTTACCATTCCCCCAAGACCGTTATTGGGTCCACCCTGATCCCTGACCTAGACCACTTCCCATTCTATAGCTCACCCCTCCCGTCCTTCACTTATCTATTGGAATGTTCCCCTGCCTCCTCACCCTGTTAGGTGCCCTCTTTCTCTACCTTTGCCGGTAGCTCTCACCTTTGCAGTTGTTCTTTACTTGTACAATAGGTGACTGCTTCGTGTTTGTCTGCCCCCACTGGACTGGCTGCACCAAGAAGTCAGGGCTAGGGTTGTCATCACCCTCATGAACCCAGCACCATCCGGATACAAGGCTGGACCCAAGCAGCTACTCAAGGAAAGCTTTTTGAATGAGTGAAAGAATGAACAAATTAATAAACATTTGACTAATAAGTGCGTGAATGATTCAATAAATAAGTGAGCAAACGACTAAATGAATGAGCCAGTGAAGGAGAACAATCCAAAGTAAATTCCCAATTGCAAATATTCTCGGACTATATAGATGAAATGTTATTCATCTTCTAGAATCATGTTTTATGTTCCCGGGGAAAAGTAAACAGAGAGACGCGGGTGGAAAGAGAATAAATTGCGAAGTAGAAAACTGCAGCGACATCTAAGTGCTGGCAGAAGGAGAGTCCTTTAGGATAAAACACTCGATGGAGATTAATTTGGAGGAATTGAAAAAAAGGTGTAAAGTCACACGCCCGAAAGGTGGAATTGAACCACTCTGTCGCTAGACAGCTACAGGTTTGAAGCCTGCACCCCAGACCACTGAGGATCATCCGGGCAGGAAACTTTGCTCCCTCGAAGCTATATAAAGTACTAAAAAGCCTACATTTTACGATCATGGTTATTTAATTCCGCCATGGATTGGATAATGAATTACAGGACCCATCAATTATATGGATCGGCTTATCACAGTGGGGGTCTTTTTAAAAGTTTTTTTTCTAAGTTATGGCGTCAATAATACTCATAATGGAAACTGCCTAATTTACATGGCGCCTTGCATCCTGGGAATCAGCTCCCCGGGACCTGGCCAGTTATTAAAGGGACAGGAGTTCCTTTTTCCAAAGTGAAAAGTCAGTGTTATAAAGAGAACAAACTCAAAATTCGGAGCCCAGAAGCTCTATTCCCGAAAAAATCCCAATTCTTCTGCAGAAA